GAAAAAATTCTGAACTACTGTTCACCAGCCAAAACTACTTGACCCCCTGAACAAATTTGCCGAAGACAGTAACTTTCTATCTGCTCAGGATCTCGAGCTATTGTATATGCGAAAATTGCACGTATATACTAGCGCCACGTAGTGCGAATTTTCAGAACTACTTCACCAACGAAAAGATCTTGACTTTCTGAAAAACTTTGCCGAAGACAGTAACTTTTTATCTCGTAAGGATCTAGAGATATTTTATATATGCCAGAATTTTACATAAATACTAGCGCCGTGAAGTGAGAAAACTCTGAACTACTGTCCACCAACGAAAAGGCCTTGACCTTCTGAACAACTTTGCCGTGGACAGTAACTTTCTATCTGGTCAGAATCTCAAGATATTTTATATGAGAATTTCACGTGTATACTAGCGCCGCGTAATGAGAAAATTTTGAACTATTGTGCACCAAGAAATAGGCTTTGATTTCATCAACAACTTTGTCGACGACAGTAACTTTCTATCTGGTCATGATCTCGAGATATATCACATGCTATAATTTCACATGTATTCTAGCGCTACGTAGTGAGAAAATTCTGAACTACTCTCCACCAGCGAAAAGTTTATGATCTCTAGAACAACTTTGCCCCAGACAGTAACTTTCTATCTGGTCAGGATCTCGAGATTTTCCATGTTGTAACCAATTAAGTCAAATCTCACGTAGTATGGACACCGTTTACGCGGTTTCCATTCACATTTTTGGGGGATTAACTGTGATAAAAGTCTAGCTTGTTTAGTTAAAAACAAGTTTTTTAAGGAATACCCGTTGGTTTCATATCGATTGGTAGCTCGGCTGCAAAATGGCAATGGGAAACTCACACTGTTGTACAAAGTACAACGCGCGAGTACTCGTGTTACAAAAGATGGCGCCGGTAACGGAGGGTTAATAAGAAAATTTAAAACATTATTTCGTGATTTTAGAACGAAATTGTCCTGGGTAAAACAAATTGACTACATTTACTTACTTGTGTTCTTGGAAGCATAGCACAATTACACGCAATCGAATACTCGAAATTCAAAGCAGTTGGTCACATAGCTAGGGTTAACTACCCCATTTCCGGCCTATTAAGCATAACCCGCACTTAGTCTTTCTTAATCTAGCGCAGTTTAGCACCAAACGGAATGTTATTAGTACTGATGGCTTCCAAATTTATTTACCTTTCCGTACGTACCGAGAAGTACGTGAAGAGAAACCAATAGTTGAGATATTGTCAAAAGTCTAACACTGCTTCTTGACGCCAAACTCGGCCTAGGGATTCTAAACTTGGCCTATCGCATTGAAATGCCTTCGAAACGTCAATGAATTCACTTCGGCCTATCGGATGAAGATAAAAATTTATTCGGTCGGAGCGCTTCTTTTGTTTTTGGGAATAATGGGTTCAAATCTTTATATTACGCATTCTCATTGACTTTGTTCGGTAGCTTATTAACTAAAGTATCGTACCAAACGCATAATAGACTTGTCAACTCTGAAATCATGGATTTATTTGATGTTTTCTGCTCGATAGGCCCAAAATGGGCGATTAGGCCGAAGTAGTTCTCTACCCTATTGGTGAACAAAATTTAACTCCAAGAAAACCACTTCAACTTTACTGCTTTGCGAGCAATCGTGAAAGTCTCATTGAAAAAGCGTTGCCAGATGTATTGCCTCTAGCATGAATTTAAGGCTCTGAACCATTTGGCGAATTTTTTTTACTTTTGGTTAAAATTTGACAGATGGAAAGTTATCGATGAACCCTGCTATCCGAGCATGGTTATTTCTGACAGACAAGAAGTTAAATTTTGGCAACCGTGGATCGAAAACCGGTCGATCGACAGCACGGGGATTTTCGAACATAGAAAATAACTTTCGAAATGTCTCTTTTAACCGAGGGGTGCGACACATCTAAATCTCGATTTTAAATGGTCGAAAAATCTCACACTACCGAATCAATCTACGAAAAATCCGTTTTCATCTCTTGCATCTAAGCCCATCTATTCGCATCGCTCTCCACCTTTTTACAGGAAATCTTCAAAATCATAATCAATCGTGTTTCTATCTATTAAGCGCGAGTGCATCTCACAACAGCAAAGCGGACATTTTGCTGCATCTTAGATAGAGTTGTCCTCCTCGCTTTTAACCACGAGTTAAATTTAACTCGGCAAATGGTTCACAGCCTAAGTTGATTAAAACAAGTAATTGTGAAGTTTGACTCATTACCATAGATGAGTGCGAGGGGGGTGACTCTATGTACGATGCAGGAAAAAATTCGCTTTGCTGTTGTGAGATGCGTGTACACTTAGTAGATAAAGAGAAGATTCATGAAGATTTTGAAGATTTCCTGCAAAAAGTTGGAGGGCGATGCAAGTAGATGGATATAGATGCAAGAGATGAAAAAAGATTTTTCCTAGATTGATTTGCTAACGTGAGATATTCCGACCATCTAAAAATGAGATTTAGATGTGTCGCACCCCCTGGATGAGTGGATGTATTTGATGGTGAATAAATAAAACAAAAAAGTATCATTTTAGTCCAATTAAAAAAGTCACAGAATATTGAATTAAACCGAAGACAACACATCAAGAAGACTGGCAACTCTTCCATTTTCTCATACGGCCGCTATGAGACCGACACAATCGCGTCATCTGCCGCTCAAAGGTAAATGCTTCGAACGATTTGTTAGCAAAGATTACAACCTCAGAAGAAAGGTTTGTTTATTTGCTCATTTTTCTTGCAGAACTTCCACCTTCGCTAGAGCGCAGCGCTACCATAGAGGTAACTCTAAGACTAGAAGGTCCCGAAATAACGTGCTCAACTTTTTGGCTCAGCTCTGGTACTCTCTTCGGTCCCAAGCTAATCGATTCACCCCTCGAAACATAGGAAAAACCAATAACCCGTCACTTTACCTGTCAAACTTTCATAGCGAATCAAAATAAACATTGCGTAGTACTAGAATTTCGACTATAATGGGGTACGTTAATCGTTTGCTTGGGACCAATAGGCTAGTCAAGTAGTGAGCCAATTTAAAATCGTTAGTTTCGTATTGATTGTTGGCGTTACTGTATCTGTCGCTTGGATTCTGGCAGAGTTGCCAGTCTTTGATTGATTTGAAGTCTTCGATGGCAGCAGTGCACGTAACCTGTCATTCGCTTTCCCTCTCATGGCGGTATGCTCCAACTCTGATCAACTTTTAATAGCGGCCCTGATTGAATGATCTGCCAAATGTTAGTTAAGGATCGTGTTGATTAACATCGACGTCGTCACCATAACAGCCTGACATTCGTGATCAGGATATAATCCGAAGATAATACCGGTTGGAGCTTACCACCATCAGAGGGTGTAAACACAATTTCTCACAGCGCACGGTCTAGTAATGTGAATTTTTTGTTTACAACATCCTTATGCACTAGGGTTTGTGACGGCTCATTTGCTGTTGCATAGAAAGGACAGAAGAAAAGAGATGGTTAAAGTTTCCTCACCATACCAGTTGATATTTATGAAACATGGACAGTTTTGTCGTGATGACGTGCACTGGACTGAATTTTACCAAATGATGATCGAAGCATATTTCAAAAACAAATTATTTACCCTTTGTAATGATCAATTTATCATGTTTTAAGAAATTTTTGGCATAATTGAAATGTACAAATTTGCTGAACACACCAATGCTTTTTATTGACGTCAATGTGATGTACAGTCCATCAAGCGTTATTGTGACATCATATTCAACGGCCTGAAAATATGTTGAGCGGGCCCTGGCGGGGTACCCCAAATGAATTTTTCAGCTAAATTGTATGCAACCAATTTATATTTGATTCAAATCAGCTGGCTCAAAAACAATTCAAAATGTTGGCTTTTGTTCTTATCGATTTTACACGTTTTAAACTCTCGTAGGTAGCTCAATTGAATTTTCATTTGGTTCCGGTGATTCACGGGAAGCGAACAAAGATCCGGTTGGATTCCATTATAAAGACCGAAAACGACGTTAAACACGCCATATGGGTCAACTTTTCCACATAATTCATTAGGACATAAGGTACTGAAATGAAACTAAATTGATGTATTAATTATACTCGTGAAAAATTTCACACAATCCCACGTCTTCCTGTTGGAGTGGTCCGTTTCCGAAGCGTAAAGCACCGTCACTGATCGCAACACTCAGAATTGTTCGCAAGACTTCACCGACCGCTTCTGAATCCGCGTTTTCCGATGGGTTGATCGAAGCGGTTTTCGATCGGATTGCTTCGAAAATATTGATTCGATTCAGGAAAATCATGTTTTTTGTCAAATTTGGCGAGGCCGGTAATTAATTAACAGTACTACGCTGCCTCATCTGATGCCAACTGGATATGAATGAGATGCGCTTTAATTGATTGAGATTGCCAAGCAGAGGTATTCCGGGAACGTTTTCCACTCAAGGCATTGTACCAATACTTTTTTTTGCATCAATATTAATTTCATTTATTACATATTACAATGAAAAATATATCCCTATGCGGAGATGCAACGTGCAAATAATTGCTTGTGTATCTTATTTTTTTAAGGACGAACAAAATTACAGGAATCGCACTGAACTTTCATAGCTGTTTAACCCCAAATTGGAATCAAGAGCAAAGGCAAGTACAGACACGATTATCGGGATGAATTATATTCCTGGGGGAAGTTAAATCAAAATCAAGTTAGTGGAAATGAAAGATTCAGTTAAACAAAAATGTATAGGTTAAGCAAAAAAAAAACATTCCAAACTAATAGAACAGAAGGGTTAAGAATGCACGGAGAAATTTTCAAAACAATAACAGCAAGCAGAGAAGTATTACGTTTCAAGAGTCAAGAATAATAAAACACCATAGGCAATCGACCGAAAGATAGAAAGAGAGAGAGAGAGAGTGTTTCTTTTGCAAGCGTCGTATGGAAATTAAAGTGCATATAGAAGGAGAAACAGCAAACTGCAAGTGCATATCTTTCGTAGAAACTTACGGTTGCTTATGGATCACTTCGCCAACCATGCTGCAGGGTTGATTGGTTTAACCGGAAACCAAACCGAATAGCAAATGTGGACAGGCGTCAGAGATGTGGAACACGTACAACCAAAATGATGCGGTGGTGAGGAGGTTCGTTGCCGTGACGATGAGAGTGATGACGACGATGATGATAACAACGACGACGACGACGACGACGACGGCAACAACAGGACCCATGGTTCATTCGAATGGAGAGAGAGAATGTGAGAAAAAAAGGTGAATAAAAATTATGAATGATAGATATCGTGCAAATATGTCTGTTTGCATCCTTTCCCCGCATCACGTATCACACCGGTAAGGGCAAACAACTCTATGTGTAGTCGTTTGCGTTATCGCACCGCGACACGGATCCGCAATGGAATTTCTAATTGAATGCGACTGGCACGTGCAGGTTGACCAATTCGACGAGTCAATCGAATGGAAATTTGTTTGGATGCTGTGCTATCAGGTTTGATAATATAGAACTTAATGCTAAAAAACAAAAATAGGAAACGATCACAGACAAATAGACTTACGAATCGGAATGCTGACTATACTTACCTTAAAATACACAATGGTTCTGTTTTATTTGTTATAATTATTCAAGACCAAGAAGCGGTTTTTTTGAAAAGATGTTTCCAGTTAAGCGACCAGGCGTCTCGGATTTTTTTTAATGAATACCAAAAATTGTGGTACCTTTAGAATTCCTAGGGTTTGTAGATGATTTTGATTGTAAAAATATTGAAAATAGAGTCGTCTACTATGTAAAAAAGGGAAAAGAGTTGTTACACGTTTTTTTGAATGGTGTGTTTGTAGTGTTTTGCAAGTGGCGTAACATCTTTAATCTAGATTAATGGGCACAAATGTTCACAATTAGCCACAATAAGTCATGGTTCCTATATATGGATCCTGAAGACAACGGAACGATCCTCAAAAAATCCGGAACATCCGTAAAAGTGGTCAATCCATGAACCTGATCCTAGAGCTCTGCGGTTTTTTTTAAACATTAGGAACTGTGATATAAAAAACATATTTGGGGTCATGACATAAACATTTACTTGGATGGTCATGGGACCGTCCTCCGGAAGATCCGGAACATTCGTAAAAGTGGACAACCCATGAAACTGATCCTAGAGCTCCGCGTTTTTTTTAACATTAGGATCTGTGATATAAGAATGAATTTGGGTCATGGACCCAGAAGGCCATTGGACCGTCCAGCGGATGATCCGGAACATCCGTAAAAGTAGTAAATCCACGATCCTGATCCTAGAGCTCCGCGTTTTTTTATAAACATTAGGAACTGTGATGATAGAAAGAATTTGGGGTTGCGACATAAACATGAACCTGGATGCCCATAGGACCGTTCTCCGGAAGATCCGGAACATCCGTAAAAGTGGTCAATCCATGAAACTGATCGTAGAGCTCCGCGTTTTTTTACATTAGGATCTGTGATATAAGAATGAATTTGGGTCATGGACCCAGATGGCGGAAGATCCAGAACATCCGTAAAAGTGGTAAATCCACGATCCTGATCCTAGAGCTCCGCGTTTTTTTTATAAACATTAGGAACTGTGATGATAGAAAGAATTTGGGGTTGTGACATAAACGTGAACCTGGATGTCCATGGGACCGTCCTCCGGAAGATCCGGAGCATCCGTAAAAGTGGTCAATCCATGAAACTGATTCTAGAGGTCCACAGTTTTTGAAAAACACTAAGAACTGAGATGATAGAATGAATTTGGGGTCGTGACATAAACATTACGCAGCTTCCCTACCATCCTCCTCTCCGCTATGTGTACTAACCGACTCTGCTAGCGCCCTCGCGGCACTGGAATCCGCCACCGCCCATCACCCCTGGATTCAGGCCATACAAAACCACACCCCCCCTGGCACCACTTTCATGTGGATACCGGGACACTGCGGAATTGCCGGAAACACAGAGGCAGACCACCTCGCTGCCATTGGACGAAATGGCCGACTCGCCAACACTTCGGTCCCCAGACAGGACCTGAAAAGTTGGATCAAGTCAACCCTCAGGACGGCATGGGACCGCGAATGGTTCGCCAGGAGAGACTTCTTCATCCGGAAGACCAAAGGGGTAACCCTTCCCTGGACGGATGTCCCAAGGTTTAACGACCAGAGATTCCTGTCCCGGTTAAGAACCGGCCACACCCGCATCACCCATAACATGGGGAGCAGCAGTGGCAGAAACTTCCGCCAAAGATGCGACACCTGCAGAACAATAATGACGGTCGAGCACATTCTAATAAGCTGCCCTTGTTTCCACGGACCACGAGAACTTTACGGGATCCCGGGCAACATCCGAGACGCCCTTCAGAACGACCCGGTAGCAGAGGCACAACTGATATGTTTCGCGAAGGAGGCCGGAATCTACAAGAGGGTTTAACCCATATATATTATGACAGTAGGCCCGGCATTCCCTGCCGGTAGCGGGTGCCAGGTCTCTCCTGGCAGCTGCTACCGGTGGGGCTCTGCTGGGGTCCTCAAAACAAAACAGAAAACACAAAAGATGACAGCAACATAGGACAGTAAGGCAAAATAAGTTCCCCTCTGGAACCGCAACCATCATTCAACTCCGCAAAATAAAAACTCTGTACCTTCTCTCCCTTTGGGATACCCCCTTCTGGGGTGTCCGGAGACGAAGCAGCCCAGGGCTGAAAGTCTCCTTAATAAAGATAAAAAAATAAATAAACATGGACCTTGATGGCCATGAGACCGTCCTCCGAAAGATCCGAAACATCCTTAAAAGTGGAAAATTCACGAAACTGATCCCAGAGCTCCGTGGTTTTCTTGAAAACGTTAGGAACTGTGATATTAGAATGAATTTGGGATCGTGACATGGACCCAGATGGCCATCGGATCGTCCTCCGGAAGATCCGAAAAATCCGTAAAAGTGGTCAATGTATGGAACTGATCCTAGAGCTCCACGGTTTTTTCGAAAACACTTGGAACTGTCATATATAAATTAATTTGCGGTCGTGACATAAACATGTACCTAGAAGGCCATGGGACCGTCCTCCATCGAAACTGATTCTAGACTTCTACGGTTTTTTCGAAAGCATGTGGAACTGCGATATAAGAAAGAATTTGGAGTCAAGACATAAACATGGACCCGAATGGCCGTGGGCCAGTCCTATCATTAAAAAAATCAATTCTTACGATGCGTAACACTTAGCAAATCCTCTTCGACATGAAATCTGTATTTTTTTGATCGCTCATGTGAAACCATATTCCATCTGCATTGATAAAATTATGTATAACATTTTCCAATCAACATTTTGTGAGTCCTAATTTGGACAAGCACCAGTGCAATTTGAAATCGCCTATCGGATATGCAATCTACGGACATATCTAGATAGAGCTGGAAATAGGGCGTAAAAGCTTTTGTAAACAATGAATTCTTTCGATGATTGCTAGAAAGTTAAGGCTCGCCAACGCAAATCAACATCACCAAGACTTTCTCTACCCGACGGTTATGTTGGTTTGCGTGGGCGTGTCTTGAGTTCCTAGAAATCATCGAGAAAAGTCATTGTTTACAAAGCATGTTACGCCCTAATTCCAGCTATATCCAGATATATGTGTAGCGATTCATTATGAAGTCGCTATTTGGAAGCTATTATTCGTAGCGTAGTAGTGAGAGTTTCGTACGCCGCAAAGTGGGACGAAATCAAACAAAATGGGACATGTCCAGTTGCGTCGGAACTATTGAGTGTAGCATTTTGATGTTTTCTAGAATATATCTTCTAGAATTTTTTGAGTACTTTATTTGAGTGATGGAAAATTTTGATTAAGGGGGGTATACACTCAGATAAAAAATAGATCAACAACTACGGAAGCATTGTAGGTAAAGTCATTATAAGCTTTGCTTGGGATGCTTCTCACGCTGAATGACTGAAAGGGTTAAAGAGTCAAATCTCATCCCGGGCAAGTCACGAATGACCTGAAACGTTTTAAACAAAACAAATAAACAATAATCATTAGTTCAACAACAGATGAACTTAAATTAAATTTTAAACATGGCGTTAACAGCAGAACATCAAGTTAAGTTGCTTTAATTTAAAAAGTTTTGACTGCGTAATGAAAGCACAATATGATATCAGACTTATGTTGAAATCAAAATGACTTTTCATTATGATAGGAGCTGCAAACTTTAATATCGATTTGCTTTCATTTTGTTAACCGACTTTGCTCGGGTCTCTCCATTTAAAGGATTTACATCCCTATTCATATTGTTTTAACACTATGTTGTAGCTGGCAGGTTAGCAGGTATTAGCAGCTAATCTGAACGTAATTTCGTTCAGCAACTTATACCCTACTGTTATATATTGAATGCATAGGTGGATCCAAGAGGATGTCTAATGAATTTTCTAATAAAGTATCTCAGTGTTTTGTAACGTTTTGCTGTTTTCATGACCATTTTTCTAGAAGTTGCAGGTAGAGAAGTGTTTCAAGAAAATTTTAAGGCGAAATCCAGAATTCCAAGATAGTTCTGAATTCAGCGTATTCTAAAGCAAATGAGAAAGAATTTCAGGATTCTAACGGAATTCGGAAGAGAATTATAAGTGAATTAGATATTCGACAAACTTAATGATCATATGACTACAATATTGACACCGAGCCTGGGCTTAAATATTTTAAATGTTAATCATTCAACCGGTCAAGCAAAGATTTCAAAGCGATTTTGTGGAGAGCTTGTACATTGATAATAACTCCAACGGAATCTTATTCTGAATATACCTATACTGCCCATAAACGCATATCAGTCCCATATGGATAGGAAATCAAGCAAAGATGGGACTGATATGCGATTATGGGTAGTATATATATGCAGAATTTCAAGCTAGTTTCAAGCTTATTCCTAAGAGAGTTCATAGTTGAAATCACAGAGAATTTTGATCCAAAGATGTTCGGTGTAGCGTACCAGGACATTCTGATGAAATTTCCAATTGAATGCAAAAAAGAGTTTTAAGTGAATTCTAAGAAAAT